TTTTTTTATTCTTTTGATGGCTATTGATTATAAAATATATTGATAAGAATGCTGGTGCATTTACGTAGGTTAGAAAGATGAGAATATAATTTTTTTTAATCTCTTCCTACTTCATGGTATTGTCAGTAATAAGAAGAGTAAAGTGTGATTTTTAAATTTATTTATGATTATAATTTTATTAATTTTTCATAAGTGATACTAAATCACTGTGAATTTTTAAAAATGTCAAATTTGATACCTTGAATAACACTAAGTCATCGTAGGTATCAAATTTTATATTTAAAATTTTAAAATTTAATTATTTTATAGAAAATTCACTTTGAAAATTTTTTTTAAGGTTTTTCATGAGTAATATTAAATTATCGTGTATACATAGAAGTATCAACTAGTGAACCATGAGTGATATTAAATCACTGTAGGTTTCAATATTTGTTAAATTTTCCTCTCTTATGCATTATTTAAAAAATAATAAAATAATAAAACTGTTAGCATATTTTAGGTTACCCCATGAGTGATACTAAATCATCATGAATTCTTAAAAATATCAAATGAGATACCATGAATGACATTAAGTCATCACAAGTATCTAATTTTATATTTAAAGTTTCAAAATTAACTTATTTTATATGCCATGAGTGATATTAAATCACCATGTACACTTAGAATGTCAACTAGCGAACTATGAGTAATACTAAATCACCATAAGTTTCAATACTAGTTATTTTCCTTTTATCTAAATGTACTTCCTTATGTCAATTTTTTTATTTAAAAATAAATATATTATGCAACACAAAATACCCTCTCTTCATAAAATAAATTAATAAATAATTAAAAGAAAACTTAAATAATAATATTTCGAACTATGTGGGCTTTGATAATCACAGGATACATAAGCCCTAGGCTTCGATCCTAAGTTAAGTATTTCCATGTAAATAAATAATTTATTTTTCTTCTTTTATCTTTATTTTTCGTGTGCAATAAAGGATAACTAAGATATTATTAAAAAGTCAATTAAATTTACACTATCAACTTAGGGTGACTGTTCTTATGAACGGGTATCGTGAGATGCCTAATATCTTTCTCATACACAACTGACTCTCGAACCTTATTCTGGTTATTATAGACCATTTTATTTTTTAAAAAGTTTCTAAAATTATCCTTTTAAATTTTGGTGGCGGCTCCTATATTTATTAATTTTTTCTTTTCAAGGAGATCACGATTTGGGCACGACACATACATATACTATTTTCAATATCAACACAATTGTCTTTATCCCATTACACTTAATTACAATTCAAATTTATCATACCAATCATCAACTGCTCATTCCAATACCATATTGTAATTGAAAATTCATTTCGAATTTACTTTTACATCTTTAGTTCAAATCAAAGCAAATATATTATCTCATATTTCACAGCATGTGTATACATTCACAAATCACAATTGTACATGCAAATAAACACATTTCACATCACAAAGCAATTAATAAATAACTACTCAAGATAAGGTTCCTCTAGTTACTTCAAATCTTTGATAGGTTAAAGGTTTACCCCTCAATAGTTAACTTCCAAACTTAATTCCTAAGCTAAATATGGTGCTCGAACAATTAACCTATAATTAATCAAGTCTAAACTTATCATACTGTCAAGAACACATGTCCAATCTCACATTTCACTTCTACAATACTCAATACCCTTATTTCACACATTTGAGCTTACCTATTTGGTACACCAAGGCTCTTTAACTCATATTGTTATTAATAAGTTATTAAACCTCCATTAAAGGCATTTAAACTCCTCCAAAAACCTTCATTAATGCCACTTTTAGATATTAATGATATTCACCGACCAAAAACCTCTACAACCACTAATACGAAGTTTAATTACTCTAAACAAATCTCATTGATTCTATTTAAGCTAATGGGTTTGAACTCATAGCTTATATTGACTGAAAATCATTATCTAATCTCAAACCTTAACCAAAAATTTCAAGAAATGGAAGAGAAAGGGAGATTAGGGCTTGGGGAACTTACCTCGAGTGATTGAAAGGTCTAAAATGCTCCCAAAGCTTCGAATTTTCACACCTTAATAGAGGAATGTTGCTTTCTCTTCATTTTCTCCCTTTTCTCCTTCTAATTTTTTGCCTGTTCACGACCATTTTATCAGAAAGTTCACAGTGCATGGCACAAAGAGGTCATTTTCCTTCATTTATCATCTGTGCGCTGCACGGACGTGTTGTAAGCCGTGACATATGACACAAACAATCCCTTCATGTTTTTCCCCCTTTTGATACTCGGGTGGCTTGACTTTACTTCGAACCCCTAATTAGGGCTAAAATCATATTCAAATACACTTATTAAACTTCTCTAGCCATACACCACATCAAATAACTAAATCATCATAATTAAACTTGATTAATTCTTTAATAATTTAAGGATTAAAATTTAGGATGTTACAGTTAATTAGCACATGCTTGCTTGTTAAATATACATAGATACTTGTAAATTAACAAATGAACACTTGTTGAAACAGGTCCCACCCCATAACCAAGTCTTGTTAGATTTTTGAACTTGTTAATTGACACATGCTTACCTGTTAAATGTACACTTATTAATTAATGAATATATATTTGTTAAAATAAATAAATGATTTGAAAATTTAAAAGTTAAATAGACAATCAAAATATATATATATATATATTTATATTTATATATATCAATTTTTGCACTACATGGCTAAAAGAACATGATGATTTTGTGGTTATATATATATATATTGTGGCTAAAAAGTCTTAGGTAACCCTTGACCACCTTGGGTCTTTGGTGGCAGCTCCAATGATAAAAAATCAATGACCTTATGTTATAGGACACTTTTCTTTTAAAGGAAAAATGCATTTATTAGTTTCTATAATTTTATCAAATTTTATTTTTAATTTATGTAATTTATTTTTAGCCGTTACAGTCCTTTCAATTTAACATCATTAGGAACTTGAGCAACGAATGTCATCCAATCTTGCTAAAAATATATAAACTAAAAACATTAAAAAATATTAATTATAAGAATTAATGATTGTATTTTTTCCTTTTTTAAAAAAATATATCAAGGATAATTATATATTTTCACAAAAAATCTTAATTACATTTAAATCTTTTGGATCTACGAAGCAAATTCAAAATTATCGACTCCTTTTTCGTAATAAATATCCCAGGGAGTTTCCAAAGAAGGAAAAAGAAAGAAGGAAATAATTGTTAAAATTAGATCTAACTTCATATCGTTACAATATTTTTATAAATTTTATTTTAATATGTATGGAATTTAAAATGAACATAGTTTTTAATTTTTTATCAGAGTTTTTAATTTTTTTATTAAAACTATTTAAACATTTCGAATCTAAATTAAACTGTTGATATCTCACATTTAGATTTGCTAAAAGGTTGAATCAAATTTGGTTCACTTCGAATTCGGTTCCTTAAATTCCTTTGTAAAAAATGTTGATATCTCACTTTTTAAAATAATTTAAAAAATGTATTTTAAAATACTTTAATGCAAAGATATGCTATGTTTTAAGACATGAATTGTGTTTTAAGCCTCAAAGATGAATATTTTTATTATGTTTACTTTAAAGTAAAATTTAATTTAAAAAATTATTATATTTTAAGAATGAAAGATAAAGTCTTTCAAGAAATTTTCAAAAACATAAATTGGAAAAATTTTATTGTCAGAATTAAATTATATTTTAACACTTGAAGGTAAATTTGTTTTAAACATCAATTTAAATCAAATGTGAAGATAATTCACTTAGGAAATTTAAATAACTTTCAAATGACGCAAAAATATATTTCAAGGCCTAAAAATAAAAGTTTTATTTGAAAGAGTTTAGTGCAAAAATATATTTGAAGACTTAAAATTAAATTTTAAGATTTTCTTTCAGACGTAAAAAAACTTAATGTATTTTATCAAAAAATTTTTTATCGTAAATATCTTTTAAAAACAATAATTTTAAAATCAATGATTGTGTTTTTTCATTTTTTTAAAAAAATATATCAAGGATAATTATATCTTTTCACAAAAAATCTTAATCACATTCAAATCTTTTGGATCTACGAAGAAAATTCAAAATTATCTACTCCTTTTTCGTAATAAATATCCCAGGGAGTTTCCAAAGAAGGAAAAAGAAAGAAGGAAAGAATTGTTAAAATTAGATCTAACTTTATATTGTTACAATATTTTTATAAATTTTATTTTAATATGTATGGAATTTAAAATAAAGATAGTTTTTAATTTTTTTATCAGAGTTTTTAATTTTTTATTAAAAATATTTAAACCTTTCGAATCTAAATTAAACAGTTGATATCTCACATTTAGATTTGCTAAAAGGTTGCATCAAATTCGGTTCACTTGGAATTCGGTTCCTTAAATTCCTTTTGAATTCGATTCCCCGTAGTGCTCGTCTTTTTGGAATTTTGTACGTTCCTAGATTTTAAAGATAAAATGAAATTAGAAACGATATAAAAAAATTTATATAACTAAATCTAACTCTAATAACTTGAACTTTCAAACTAATTTAAACCACCCTAAATATTTGAATTGTTATATTAACATATATTGTATATTCATGTACTTTATAAGTTAGCTTTTAAATTTTAAATAATTTATAATTTATAAAGTGCACGAGCTAATAAATTATACTATAAAAGGCCGTTTCCTTTTTGAAAAAGAATGAATTGAAATAGATTAAAAAATAAAAATAAAATGATGTTTTTTGTCAAAATAAAAATATAATGATTAAGACATAAAAGAGAGATAAGTTATTATACTCCCATCTTTTCGCCTAGCGAGCTAACCAACTTTTTATTATCATCGGGGGTGAACTGGGCCGGCCCATTAAAAAGTATAAAAAATAATGGAGTTTAATAGTTAAATGGAATATGGACCCAAAAAAAAAAAATAACAATGAATGCTCGAATGGAATAATAGAAAGATCGGTCGGGGGCCGAATCAGTCTACATTTTGCCCTGGCCTGTGTTCTCTCCCTGTATCGTCTCAAGGGAAGCGCGGAGTTGGATTGAGAATGGCGGAAGAAGCAATCCTCAGTTACCTGGAAAAGGGCGAAGTAATTTCAGATTCTGGTGTCTTTGCTTCTGAACGTGGAATTGACCACAATGAGATCGTCAATGTCATCAAGAGCCTCCACGGTTTTAGATATGTCGATGCTGAGGTGCCACACCCCCCTTCCTTCCTCCTAGTTATTGCCATCTTTTTGTTTTACTTGCTGTTTCTGCATTCACGAGAGTTCTTGCTTGTCTCCAAGAGCTTGTCATAATGGTTATAAATTTCAGTTTTCACTACACATAGTTGTCTAGTTACTGTTTCTGTTACATTTGCTGCATTGCAAACCGTGGCTATGCACAAGAAAGGTCCTTAATTTATATGAAAAATAGTATGGTAAACCAGGATGGATAGGTTAAGCTTAAGCAGGATATTTGTAATTATTCGGTATATGATCTTTTCAAACCTTGTTTGTTTTCGAAATGATTTATTTTTTTTTTAAATTATGTCGTGTGCAAGTTTTAGTAGTCTGATTGAATTTGCTCGGAGTAGCTCCAATGACGGGTTCGTACATCAGGTCGAAGTCACCTCCGCTATGACTTTGTCTTCGTGCAGGACATTAAGAGGGAGGCATGGGTGCTAACAGACGAGGGGAAGACATATGCTGCGGCAGGATCACCCGAAGTGCAATTGTTCTTGGCAATACCGCCAGAAGGCATCTCTAAAGAGGAGCTTCAGGTTATTATTCCACACTTAGGTTTATTATAACTTTAATTGTTCTTACTATTAGTTGTAATAGCCCTTTTAAGGGATTGTATTGAATTTTGTTTTTGTACTGTACCAGTAAATTTTGGTAAAAAAAGTTGTCGTCTCCTTGCAGAAAAAGCTAGACCCCTCTGCCTTCAAAATAGGCTGTGCTCAGGCTGCAAAGAATAAATGGGTGGAGTTAGGGAAACAACTTATATCCCGGAAGGTTTGCTATGGTCGACTTATTGCCTTAATCTGAAGATGTTCAAGTTCATTAGTCTTCTTTTTCTAACTTGCCATTGCCATTTATGATTTTGACACTCATATTGATACACTAAACCCAAGTAAATGACAGCTATAAGTTCCACTTGGACGTCTGAGTTTGTTTGTCAGAAGTTTCACCTGTTAGGGCTCAATGTTGCTGTTTATTTGTTAGAGCTTTACTCATGCATCTAGTGTTTTCTGCTGCTTTTGTAATAAAATTTGGTCAATGACATTGCTACTGTATGGTGTCAGTTTTGCTCTTTCTTTCTCTCCTGTTCTGTATAATTCTCCCTCCGTTAAAGGAATATTCATATCTGAAAATGAAATTGCAGTGATGATGCAAACTATGCACCTTTTGTGCACATGGCCTGGTAATGACTTTATTATGCACTAATTATTGTTGACAAACCTATGTTTTTTTGTCAGGTCCAACATGTGGAAGATAGAGTTAAAGATTGGCTCCTTAAAATACAAGAGGGACAGGTGGGTGTGCTATTGTGAAAGTTTCTTGTTATAGTTCTGAGTCAGTAACCTGTCCTTTCACCCTTTAGGTCCAAGTGATTACTGGTTGTGGGCTTTAAGCTTGTTCCCTGCTCTCTGCCATTTTCCTACTTATGTTTTCTTTCTTCTAAGTTTTTTCTTTGAAATTTGGATACCTCATTAAAGATTTTCCTACATGCCGTTAATTCAGGTTATTGGTTCAGATGATATTAAGGCCCTTAAAGCGCGAAAGCTTATTGTTCCACAGTAATAATAATTTCTTTGCTGTCTTTTTAGTTTCTTGTCAACTCAAGTTTATTTTACCTTGCTAGAGAGCTTTTAAGACATAATACATTTGCCATGATTGTATATTCTGTTTTGATTTGGAAAAATGTCTTATGATTTAGGACATGGAAGGGCTACTCAGTGAAAAAAGGCCCTAACTATGCTCCAAGAAGAAAGAAAGTTGTCACCGATCTAACTCGAGAAAATCTCCAGAGGTATTATTTTAATTAAGGAAAACTAAGTATTAGAACCTCTGCATTCAAACTGTTACTTGGTGCCAGTGTCTCAGCAATACTCGGTGTGTCAAGTGTACTACTTTTCTATAGATGTTTTTATTTTGTCTGAACTTCTGTGTTTGTTATTTTGTTTTATATCAGTGGAGAGTGGAAGGAATTAGAGTTCAAAGAGTACAACTATAGTGCTAAAGGTCAGCCACTTGAGGGTGGTTATCTTCATCCACTACTGAAGGCAAGAAGATTTTCCCTCCTTTCCTCTCTTCCTCCTTCCTCTTACCAACAGGAAGATTGTCCCAGAAAAGTTCTCTTTGATTTATGTACATTAGAAATGCCTGAAGTCTGATTTTACTGGGGCAATGTTCTTATTTTACTTATTCTGAAAGTCATTGTATATTTACAGGTGCGTCATCAACTAAAACAAATTTTCCTCTGCATGGGGTAAGCCTTATGATTGTCATGTGAAATTGATTATGTTTTCTGGGTAATACATTGAGTTTAAATAGTTATTAGTTCTGAATATCAATCTGGTATATGCTGCAGGTTTGAGGAGATGCCAACCAACAATTTTGTTGAAAGCAGGTAAATTTTTTTGCTAGGCGTATCAATTCCATTCTATTGTTAATTGTTGATTGATCACTACTGAAAAATCTTGTGATGGGTTTTGATTTTGTGGCTTCATCTATCCTACCAGTATAATGTTGGTAAAGATGCTTTGATCATTTTCTAGATGTTTTATCTAAATTTTTTCATGTTAAAAATTTTAATGACTTTTGGCGGTAGCTAATTGGGGTGGGTCTTGTAAGGTTTTGAACTTCAGGTCATTAAATTTTAGATCTTAATTGATAACATTTTGAGCTTGCTGGCATGTTTTCAACCAATTATCGTTCTTTCATTTTCCTTTTCATCTCTTATCGGTTTATTTCTTGTCTTTCTTTTTTAATTGAACTGTTGGAGGATAACAAAAGAATTCATGATATTGGCAACCAAGAACTGTGGCTTCATCCACAAATCACTAATTTTGCCTATCAACTCTCGATGAACTTGAGACATTCCATCAACTGGAATGTCAAACCTTTTGTTTGTCTTCAAAGAGATGCAATAAAAATCTTCACTGTCTTAATATTTAAAAAGAAATGGATACTTTCTGAGTCAAGTCAATTTATGATTATTGGTTCTTAAATTTGTTCTTCCTTTGATATTAAAATTCAAAATATTGTACCCCTCATTTGCATCACAAGTAGCAGCTAATTTCAACTTGCAATATTATTTTTACCTTGAAATTAAAGTGGTCTTGCATTTGAATAGAGTCCAATATGAGATTGATATTGATGTTTTAATTTGTAGCTTCTGGAACTTTGATGTGTTGTTCCAGCCCCAACAACACCCAGCTCGTGATTCTCATGACACATTTTTTTTGTCAGGTCTGTAAAAATGACTTTATTATTTTTCTTTGAAGTCAAATATATATCTTATTCTGATTTGTGCCAAACATAAACCTGCAGCTCCTTCAACGGCAAAGGATCTGCCAGAAGATTATGTTAAGAGAGTGAAGGATGTTCATGAAGTTGGTGGTTATGGATCTAGGGGGTATTACCTCCTGAAGACTCACAATCAGTTCTTTTTATAGGCTATATAACAATTCACCTTTAAGGTTTACTAATTTTTCTGAGGAAAGCCGTACAATTTGTTGTCTGGCAGATATGCTTATGATTGGAAAAGAGAGGAGGCAAACAAAAACATCCTTCGAACACACACAACTGCTGTTTCCTCTAGGATGCTTTACCAGCTGGCACAGGTTTGCACCCAGTGCCTGAATTTATTATCATGTTCTTTTATGTACATACAATTTTACTGTTTTGTGCTATTTACTCATTGAGGCATCATGCCCTACTGTTGTCCTTTTTGCAATGATTTTTCACAAGAAAAATTTCCAAATGACGGTTATTAATGTTTTAAGCAAGTTTGAGCTATTTTGCATCTTGCTGATATGTTCCTGTTTTATTTTCCCTTTTCTTTTCTCTGCCATCGGAAAAGTCATTACACTTGTCAAGTTTATCTCTAAATTAGTTTTTCCCATTCCAATATCTTTGCAGAAACCATTTGCTCCAAAAAAATATTTCTCTATAGATCGTGTATTTAGAAATGAAGCAGTTGATCGAACTCATCTTGCTGAATTTCACCAAATCGAAGGTATGTACCTGTCTGTCAGCTAATTTATTTCTGGGGCGAGCAAAAAAATTTTCACACCAGTCAATATTTGGATGGTGGAATAGATTTTGATTGCAAAACAATTTGACCTCCGTACAAATTGATCATGTTCTTGATACTGAAACTGCTACATCTATACTCAACTTTTATCCCATCAAATTGAAAACCCTTCTTATTCTCTAATCTAACTTATTCTGCATCTGGTTTTTTGTTTGCCAATTAGTAATTATTAATGTGAAGTTTTAATTGTTTTGCCCTATTCACTTTAATCTTAGGACGTAGATCTACCAAAAAGGGTCATACACTTATCTTTGCTAATCCCTCCTTTCTTGCATTTGGATTCAGGTCTTGTATGTGATCGGGGACTCACACTTCGTGACTTGATTGGAGTTTTGCACGATTTCTTCTCGCGCATGGGTAATGCTTTCTCCTGTAAAAAGCTTGTGTCCTTAAATGTCAGGCGAAACCAGGAAAATTTATGTAGCCCAGAGCTAAGTTCGGGAAAAACAGAGATCAATAGCATTATTTTTCGTGATATTGAATTCAGGTATGACTAAGCTGAAGTTCAAGCCTGCTTACAATCCATACACTGAACCTAGCATGGAGATTTTCAGGTATTAGTTTGTCTTCAGGTAGTGAGGTTTTTAGGCACTTCCTTCTGTTTACTGTTCTGAGGCATTAACATCTGTCTAATCATTTCTTCAGTTATCATGAAGGCCTTAAAAAATGGTTTGAGGTTGGAAACTCTGGCGTGTTCAGACCTGAGATGCTGCGTCCTATGGGACTTCCTGAAGATGTTCAGGTTATCGCTTGGGGTCTTTCCCTTGAAAGGTAAGATGAATTTGATGCCCATCATTCCTCATTGATTTTTTATTTTTTTTATTTTTTGAATGCCGAGTTTTCATGTGATACTTGTATTCTTGTTTTGGGGTTTTAGTTTTGAAGTAAAAGATATGATGTAACTATAATATGTTCAGTACAATATGTTACTGGGCATTACTGTATGCATAATCATTTTTTTCGTGTTGTTTTTCCCCTTGAAATCAGACCAACAATGATACTATACGGAATAGATAATATCAGGGATCTCTTTGGACACAAGGTAATGACTAAATCCTAATATGTAGGAAATGTAAAATCAAGTATTTCTTTTCCTTTCATTCTCAATTTAAAAATGCTTCAAAGCTATGATGCAGTGTTGTCCTAATCTCTCTACTTTCTCATGTTCTCTTGCAGGTGGATCTTGGCCTCATTAAGAGAAATCCAATCTGCCGCCTTGGAATTGAGTAAACTCAGCAGTTTCATCTGTTGCACTTTTGCAGGTAAGAAATTTTCTCAGATGACTCCTGCCCGTTTGTATTATTGTATTATTGTAATAACATTTGATCGAGACACTCTAATTTATTGTAATAGCATTATAGTTTTTACTTGTATAAGCATTTGGGGTTACCTGCACTTGATGTTTTATTATTATGAATTGGATGTCAAATTACAGATACAAAATAATGGCGTGTAAAACCAACTATTCTTTGCAAGGTATAATTGAGTTATTAATTCATTCTTCATATGAGCTAATAATGTCTTTGGATTAATGAAAGATGAGGATCTGAATTTGAATCAAATCTTTCATTTGAGTGGACAAAAATTTATTTTAAATTATAATTCTTTTATAATTTTAAATTCTCTTTGCCTCTTAATCATTTAAAATTATAATCACTTTAAATATATTATTTTTACATCTTTATTATCGATATTTTTATAACTTCGGTATTGTTTTTTTTTTACCTTTTGTCAGTTAAAAAATAAAAACAAATTTACCAATTCTAATTTTTTTTATTTTGAATTTTAATTCATTCTTTTTTTTATTTGAAATTTTTTAAACTATTCAAACAAAAAATTTTAAATACTTGAATTTGAAATATAAGATTCAAATTCAAATCCATGAAGAATTGTCTTGCTACACGAGTCTGTGCAATATAACCCCAAGCAGTGACGAATTTAAGGGGGGCCAGCCCCTGTTGGTCCTCCCACCCCAAATTTTTTTAAAAATAAATATAATTTGTTCATAAAAAAATGCAAACAATTACAGTTAGCTTCTCACATTTGAATAAAATTTCAGTTAACGCCCCCCACATTTAGATGAAATTTCAATTATAGCCCCCCATGTGATGAATTCTGAATTCGTCCCCGACCCCAAGCCCCCACATCTGCAACAATGAGGAAAAGAATGACCAATCTAAGAAAAGAACAAGAAAGAAATACCAAAAAGAAAAATTATCATGACAATTAATGTGGCTAAATGGTCATATGGGAACGAAGTAATAACTAATGAACCCTACCTCAACCGTCTCATAACACGCAATTTGTTCATACCTTCCTCATCTTTACTCTTTCACCATTTCATGAAGATATGGGACCTCCAGCTCCTCCACTAGCATGATATACGCTACCAAGATATGTCACTTAGCATCTACATTTTTTATGAATTCGTGAGAATTACTTGTCTCGCTGTCAATAGAGACAAGATATTTGACCATTTTGCTTCACTTCCCACAAACCCAACCAATAATTCATATCCCAGAAAGACATCAATTTGTCTGGGGGTCTGTAATATCAGCACCCGTGCCTGCAGATGGCAGCATGTGTCGCTTTCTAATTTTAGAGTCTACCAATTTTCTGAATTCTTCATCAGAACAGGCTAACATATACCGCAGCTTCAAATTAATCCGATTCTCCACCAGAACCTTGTGCCTTGGAATAATTCGGCCATTGAGAGAATAACTGAAAAACCTGACAATAATGAGGGGGCTTAACTAAATGAAGACAACCATGTCATGAATTCAAACCACGGAGAGCTCACAAGCATTTTTACGAGGTCAACGAGATCCTCCAAGCAAATACCTAGAAAAACTTGGCCAAATTTTTATCTTTCTATAATTACCTTGGAAACTCAATGAGATCTTCCAAAGGCCGGACCATGGTTCGTCGCAAATAACTATACTTGGGACGAAGGATATCTATGTTGTATCTGAGCAGCATCGGGAAATCCGCAATCATCTCACCCAATTGCTTAAAACGTATGCCCAGTGACAGATAATATTTTACATTCACTTCAAGCTTATGCGTTATGCTGCATCCCAAGAGCTCTGGTCCCAGAGCAATAGCCTTTGCAATATCTTTATCGCTGACCCCAGCTTTGGTCATCAAGAATATGACCTATATGGCATTCAAATGAGTGTTAGTCAAATTATGGATACACCATGTAATCAATTCACTCGCTACCTTATCGATAGTTAATAGCGATTTCCTCTGGTCCTAAATGTAGTAGTTAGTCGAAATGTTAACTTTGGTCCTAAATATAAGACCTCGTTGTCTCCTATATTTATATTTTTCTTCCCAAAATATCCCAACTGATTGCACATATTAAGAGGGGTTTCTAACAGTAAGGATAGGTTCCCATGTAAATGATTCAAGGAGGCATTTTAGGGAAAGCAACACCCATTTTTGGCAAACAACTGACCTAACCAATTTCTTTAACCTTTGAAAATTAATTATATAGTTTCTACATTTAGAACCGAAGGGAGAATTTGAAAGGATGGAGAGAGCAGTATCTCTCTAGGCACAAATCCCCATCAAACTCAAGTGTAACTAGTCCTGTAGGAAAATATAAAATTAGGAAAGGTCCTAAGGTTTGTTGTTGTTGTTGTATCCTAAGGTAGACCTACGGTACATAAAGCAAGCAAATGATTAATGAACATAAAGACATGTCACTGAATGTCCACCTCAAATTGGCCTCGTATCTGTATACATATATGATCTAGATACTAATCTCTTAAGAATCAGTTATTGATAAAACACTGATCACTATACAAGTACTGCTCCTACGAAGTCCTTAGATGGTCTTACTAGTTAAGTCTTAACTGCTCTTGTCAAAAGCATAACCTGAAGGAAGTCTTATTTTTATTTCTTTCTTTTTCTTCTACTCTTAAATCTTAACAGAACAAGGCATTGGCTGCCAAAAAAAAAAAAGGTGATAAATCCCAAAGCCACAGATGAAAAAGACAAACCACTGGCCTAATCTTCTTGTAGAGGCTGTACGTGAGCAGAGTAGGAAACTTCACAAGCATGTTTCCAATTGCATCATCTCGAATCCCTATATCTTGAAAAAACTTTACCTACGTAAAAGAATAGGTGATTGGCCATCAGTTATTTGAATAAATTAATGTTTTCTTGGCCAAAAATAATTAATGTTTGAATCCTTCCAACATGCACTTGAGAATGAGTAACATGTCATTCATTCATGAGAGTGATAAAGGGAACGAACCAAATGTAGCTGAAATCACAAACCTTACCAGACTTCAGCTTCAAACATGAAACAGATAAAAGCGGAGGTGGCCTACCTTAGGCACAATAGTTGTCTGCAAATCGATACAAAAGACCATTGGTTTGATCATAAGCATTCTCCTCATACCATCTCGGGTAATCCCAAAATAATACAAATACTTAGCAAGAGGCTTCCATCCTTCTTCAATGCTACATCCCATCAATTGTGGCTTAAATGCTAGCAATCTACCAACATCCTCAGTTTTGAGCCCAAACTCCTTTAAGTAACTAACCTGGAAATTACTAAAAAGATATCATGATTTGCGTATAAGCTTGCCATTCCAAATATCTTAAATTAAATTTGACAAAAGTTATCTCTGCCCTTGTGCTTCGCTCGGTCCTACTTCTAAACAAGAAAATTACTATAATACAAAGCATGCAATGAAGATATGTTCTGAGATGTATCTTAGACTTCATAAAGTGCATTAGAATCTAATGTACCTTTTGATTCATTTCTTCTAGAGTAAAGTGACCAAGAACTTTAGGATAATCAAAAACCATCGTGCCAAAATCATGATCATTTAAACCCATATCTATGTAGAATTTCACACGAGTCTTCACTTCTTCCATGCTGTAAGATAACAATTGAGGACATCGACTTATGACATAACCCATCCAATCCCTCCTGACTCCCTTGCTCTCTAAATACTCAACAATCTCATCCAGCTCCTCATCGCTGCGTTCCAGAACATTATCTCCAGCATTCACAAGTGTAACCCCAAGAAATTCTCCTTTCACGTGTACTGACTTCAACCACTCAGCAAGGCGTCTTATAGACTCAAGGTTTCCTCTTGACATCAAAATGAGCTTTGATATCCGATGATATGACAGTGCATTATGCTTCAACCATCTAGATTGAGGGAAGACAATCTGTTGATGAGTCTCCAAGTTGACCGTATCACAAGCACTTTCGATTTCACACTCATAACTTCTTCAGAAATAATTATAACTCGGAAAAAAAAAAAATTCTTGAGTAAACAAATAATTTGGTCTTTGAATTGTTCGTCCTATTAGCTACCAAAACGAATTTTGTAGTCCGTGAGTTAACCTTAAAAATGACAAATTAATTGTATATTAGCCACTTGTTAAGTGACCAGAATGCTGGAAGGACCAAGGCATAAAGAGTTTGATATTTTCAGGGCTTTAAGTTGAACAAGTCTAACAATTCAGAGACCAAATTACTAGTTCAAAACACTTTATGAGTTTTTTCCCCCCTTTTAATAACTACAAATGGTTCAAAGACATTTATGGTCGAACCCGTTTAACAGACATGTTAATTTCATATAAAAAAGAAAGCAAACACCTTACCAGCAACTTCAAACATACCAATTTGTATCACTCCTACCTGATAAGATGCACAACTTGTGAGTCGTCTATAACAGTTTTGGCGCGTAAATTGAACGTGGAATGCGAATACTCAGGTATCCTTTTCATCGAAGCAGCTTCAATCATAATATAATCGATAAAACCAGTCAATCGATTGACCAAATTGGTAGCATACGTGATTCCAAACTTGCCCTTTCGCATAGCTTGTATAAAAATCTCTCGCGTCACCTTCCTTCGAATCTCAATCGCACGCATTATCATCTCCTCCTCATCTGCACCTTCACCTTCAACTTTTTCTCTAAACAGAGTTCGCAGAGGCGGCAAAGAAGAACCCACATCGGGATCACTGGGAGATTGAACATAGATGGACCCGGGAAACTGAGGGGTCCTTTTCCTTACCAGAGAAAGCTCTAACAGCTTAATCTTTTCTTCATCGGGCATGTTGTGTTGAAGGTCATTGGATTTGAGGTTGAAGTGCTGAGAATGATGGTTTTCTTGGTCAAGAGAAAGTTGGTGAAGGAGAAAGGCGCTGGATTTGGAGTTCTGCTTGCGAAGAATGAGGTTCTGGGAATCCGGGCTATGTGGATTCTGGCAATTAACGATGGTGGAAATTGGGGTGGTGAGGGATTGGAGAAGGAGAGAGCGCGGAGAGTGAAGCTTGTATTTCTGGCACGAAAGCATTTCCAATATGTCGAAGACGGAAGATGGCGCTTGCAACGGGTAAGAGGGAGTGTCAATGGATAAACAGTTAGTTCGCTCTCTTCGGCTTCGGCGTATCAAAACTTCGTTGACCTTGTAGAGACGAGGCGAGTCAAAGACTGAACAAGCTGGCCCAACCGATTTTTTTTTTTTTTTGGGGGGGGGGGTGGTGTTTAGATGTTGGGGGGAGGAGAACAAGGACCTGCATAAATACCTCGACAATACCGATTCTTGAAGTATTTTGAGCAGACAAAAATGATAAAAGAAATGAAAAGGAAAACAACTGAAATTTAATCAAGCTTTAACATATTTACTTGTTATATTTTATTTCACAAAGCAACAGACTGATTCTTAGTATCATTTTTCCCCTTGCTCTTTTGATGCTTTACTTTATGCAGAACAACAAATCTGATTAATGGATGGGAAAAAAAAAATCTGATAAATCAATTAAAAATATACTTTATACAAAATGACTTGAAACAGAGCAGAAAGGAAAAAAAAAAAAATCAATTACATGTGAAGAAATTGTGGCTTGTTTGTGAATAAACAAGCAGCCAAAGAAGAATAAGAATCCATATCTGCCATGTCCCTCTCCATACCTCTGGAATTTCTTAGTCCAAAACCACAGGAAAAACAAAACAAGACAATCGTACAAAGAATCTGAACGCCAGTTTTGTCTCCTCGAATTGTACAAAGGCTTGAAGCTTCCTCTAGTACTACTCCAGCTTCTCCACCTCTCGAATGCTACCAGAAGGTTCCGGAACTATCTCAGTCGAATGACGCCTGCGGGACAATGAAAACTCACCTTCTTCAGCTCTTGCACCAGAAGCTGCTGCAATTACTGTTACATTAGAATTCTGACGCCAACTAGAAAATAAAGCAGCATTCCAAGAGCCTCTGGAAGAGGTTGTTCTAAGCCTTGCAGAACTGTAACTCTCTTCCCTTATGACTTTTAGAGGGTTTTCAAGAGCCTTGAGGACATTTCTCATCTGGGGTCGTTTTGAAGGTTTAGGGTTCAGGCAAGACCTCGCGATGATAGCCACTGCCCACACTTCCTCTAAGAAATCCTCATCAACAACCATGGATGGATCCATAATCTTTGTCACAAGCTCCTTGTCATAAATACTAATGTAAGGTAGTGTCTGTTCCAACCATTCTTTTACTTCTGCATCACCAGATGCACCAATTCCCAGTTTACCGGTTACCATCTCAAGCAATACTTTCCCAAAGCAATAGACATCATAGGCACAAACTGCTGGTGATGAACCTGTTTTCAGTGTACAAAGCTTGTGTTATGATTATATAATAAGAGAAACTGACATAAATCTGATTCTGTAAGGGCTGCATAATGAGCTAACAAATTTGCTGCATACATGATGATGGAAGATGCTCACTTAAAATGACATTAAGAGATAGACAGAGAATGCTTCATGTAAATAGGGCAAAGAGCTAATATCAAATCTCCGTCAGCAATTAAATTTAGTGATTCTACTCACCAGATGAGCCTTGATCAGATGACCTGCACAAGCAAGATAAATGGGAAATTAGACAACTTTAAATGACAAATGTTATGCATCTCTAGTTATAGTACAAAACTACTAAAAAATTCACAATGCAGCTGAACCATGAATCATTAAATTTAATACAACAGTAAACAACAATCTGGTAGAAAGAAACGCGTCGAACTTCAGCACTGTCGCATATAACTCGGCATTATGGAAGCCAATACACAAGACTCGCTAACCAAAATGGAGATTCGAGAGTCAAAATTGCAAGGAATAAACATTTTAACCACATGTAATTTTACTGCGAAGGAATCATACTACACCAAAAATAAGTCTATACTTAGGAAATGATTAATTTGTTCCCCTACTAAAGAACTAATCAGAAAAAGATGTAGAGGGTAACATCAACCCAAGATCATAGATATGTAGTCTAGAGATGTCCATTAAGTAAAATCCGACAGACAATATGGCATTCCATTGAATATCTTTTTTCAACTAAGCTGCCAAAAGAATCAAATTAAACAAAGCACAGTTTATCATGAAAGATCTTGCAGACATGATGAGATTCATAAAAATAAAATTTATTAGCAGAGTACTTACTGGGGTAACCGTAGCAACCTTGAGATTTTCCTTTGATGACTATCCCCTTCCTGAGTGCAGGCTTCACTTAGACTCCCTAACCGAACTTCATATTTATCATCTAGAAGTATACTGGTTGCTTTAATGTCTCTACGGTATCCAAAACACAGACAAGTCACTCCATGTATACTTCTGTGTACTCAGACAGCATGTATATTGAAAGAACAAAAAATTTAAGTATGAGCTAGAGGTAAACCCGGACCTGTGAACAAAGGGTGGATTGCATTCATGATGCAAATAACATAGGGCCTCCGCAGTTCCAATAGAAATTTTCAATCTTGTTATCCAATCCAATGACTGCGATGTCCCATCTTCATGTGTAGTTTCTCGGTTGTGCAAGCAATTCAACAAGTCCCCATTTGGCAAATGTTTATAAACCAGGAAATTCTCATTGTCATTTTCTAAGCAATGACCCAACAGGGGAACCAATCTTGTGTGAGAAACTTTACTGAAAAGGTCTAGTTCTGACATGTAAGCATTCTCATTTTTTGTTGAACGCAAATCAACCCTTTTTATGACTACAGATATCCCACTTTCCAAAACACCATTGAAGAGATCACCCGTGTGACCGTGTTTGATAAGATTTGCATCACTGAAATCAACTGTAGCCTTGAGCAGCTGCTGAAATGTAAATGAGTCTCCTAATTTTGATAATTCTATCAATGCATCAGCAGGTGCAGGACTGCCTCCAGCAAGTGCAGCGCCCACACGAGCCCCTGTGTTATTTGACTTGCTCCGCTTACCAGTACACAGGAGCAACAACACCAGCAGCAGCGCCAAAACTGCAATGAAACCAACTCCACCTAAAATTCCTGCTAGTACAAACTTTCTTCTACTGTGCTTCCTAGAGCTTTCTGCTGCACGAGCTCTTGTCATGTTTGCTTGCCCAAAATTATGAAAAGAGAGGCCTCTCTTGGAATAGAATGAGGCACATTCTTCTGTCGTCCTCTGATCTGATGCGTTCTGGAGGCAGTTGCTACCCAGTGATGCATTCACTGCGAAATCCAGAACCTTGCCTTCAAAATAATTGCTTGACAGATCAATGAAACTGAACTTTTTGAGCAGAGGAGTGATGCTTCCGTAAAAAAGATTATGCGAAAAATTGGCCTTAACTGCAGGATTAGCATTAGCAGTAGAACTAGAACTAGGAAGCACACCAGTGAAGTTATTACTGGAGACATCTAGAAAGCTCAATCTTGGAAGATACCACAACTTATCAGGCAAGGTCCCAGTAAAATTATTTTGTCTCAGCTCTATGATCTGCAACTGCAATGTAGTATGAAACGAGTTCTGCGGCAAAGGTCCATCAAGAATGTTGTTCCCAAGCTTCATTCTCCGCAAACTCCTCAGCCCCATTAAACCCGGAGGCACCAGACCGTACAAGGAATTATCGCTTAGATCAAGGTCAACTAGGTTACTAAGATCCCCGAGTTGAGCAGGTATAGAAGAAGTTAGACCATTGCTGGAAAGATTCAAGTATTGTAACTTAGAAAGTGCCCCAATTCCTTGAGGAATCGACCCGGATAAATAGTTGGAAGAAATGTCAAAGAAAGAAAGATTCCCAAGAAAGGCAAAGGATGTGGGCAAGGATCCTGAGAGAAAATTCCGCGAAAGATCAAGAACAGAAAGGCCTAAAAGTTGGCTAAGACTATCAGGGACGATCCCAGTGAGGTTATTATTAGATAAATAGAGAGTATTTAGGCTTATTAGATTCCCAAGACTCGAAGGAATTGCACCAGTGATGGAGCAAGAACGAAGATCAAGCACTCTAAGTGAAGAAAGCTTTTGACCAAACCAGTGAGGAATAGGACCAGGAAGAAGAAACTTGGACGCATTGAAGGATTGCAGGAAGGTCAAATTGGCTAAAGCGTCGATAGAGAATTGTGGGTTTCGCCTCCCAAGTCTTGTTCTTCTAAACCCAGAAATATTGATCCCAGTGACTCTACCATTTTCACAGCTCAGGCCATTCCAGATTAAGCAAGGGTCGGCTTTTATTGGCCATTCCCTGCTTCTCAAGCCCAAAGAAGATCGAAGTTGAAGTAGGGCGACTCGCTCAGCGGATGAACTCAGAGGCTCGAGCTGTTGAAATGTGAACTGAAAAAGCAACAAGAGCAAGAACCCAAGAGACACTATATTTCGCCGATGGTCCACCATGTCTCAAGATCCAAACATTCTCATCTTGTTCTCAACGATGCATGAATTTCGTGTGCATTTGATCGTCTGCAACAACAATTTGAGGCACGCAATGCAGAATAAGACATTTCTGCCTCTCTAACAAGAGGAATGCAAAACGAAAGAACAATCTCTTGCCTCAAGAAAAAATGCTTGGTCTTTATTGCATCTCTGCTCTTTCCCTGTCTATTCTTCTCTCTGTTTCTGACGGAAGACGGGGGAAAAGCGGAAGTTTTAAAATTGAGAAAACTGAAAAGAACCCAAAAAAAAAAAAATTGTCCTGGAAAATAAAAATTATGGAGTGAGCATCAAGGTTGGGTTGTTTCCCCCAGTGTTCAAAGACGACAGAAAGAACAACCCACGATTGACAGTCCTAGAAAAAAAAATTGGGGGGTGGAGTGGAGGAACAAGAAAATGCAGTGGCATGTGTCTTGCAAAGCAGAGTGATGAATTAAGATAGGAAGTTGAGAGGCTCTGACACAGTGATGGTGGAGGTTTGACCTCCGTTAAAACCGGCCGGTCCAGCTAAGCCCACACAGCGACACTAGCGTCCCTCTTCCATTGCTGCTTTCTTTGCCTTCTCTATCTTTCTCTTCATGAAATCTAGCAATGAAGGTGGTAACTGTAGGTTGAAGAAGACTGGTTGGCAATTTTATCGACCCACCAATATGCTACCTGCATACTGTAATTAATGAATGAGAGGCAGATTTCGCGTTTCACTTCACTGTGGAAGCATTGGATTTTATGAAGAAAAAATTACTTTAAAATTTTACACCACACAATTAAATATTATTAGGTTGATTAACATCTAAATAAAAGTAAATGATAACTAAATAGGTTAGTAATTTTCTTTTGTTAAGTTGCGGAGAGACCTAAACATATTATGTGGTACTTGTATGTAACTATCCTTTTTTTGAATATAAAAACATTACATGCATCTTAACAAGTTTTAACACTGTTCAGAATTCAAAGGGCTGATGGGCGGCCCAAAAAACACTGTGTAGAGTTGACAGAAAAGGTAATTTTGTCTATAATTAACCGTTTGGATTAATTATTATGCATTTTTTATTACTTATAAATAATACTCAGTTCGTTTCAAATTATAAAATACGTTTTAAAAAATTTATTATTTTAAAATATAACACACTTTAAAAATATTAAAATTTTATTAAATAAATTTATTTTAATATTATCTTTTCTTCTTCTATTTAATACTAATTAAATGTGGATTTAAAGTTATTAAATGAAGTATATTTTTAAAAGTTTTACATTTTTATTTTTAAAAAATAAGATTGTTATATGTATTTTATGAGAATTATTAGTATGTAAAATTTTATCTTAAAATATTTTATAATTTGAGACGGAGGAAATATAATACAATTAGTTAGAGTTTTTCCATGACAAGCAATTTTTTTATATCAGTGACAAAACATTTGATATAATAATTTTTAATTTAAATATGTTGGTTTGCTCACTTCTAATGTTGTATATTGTTAAAAACTTTCTCAGTGAATTATTTTTGTAATAATTTTTCATAATTATTAATTATTAATTTAAATAAAACATATTTTCTCATGTAAGTGTTCAGGATTTATAAATAGTTTTTTTTGTCAAATAAATGGTGTGGCATCATATAAATGTCATATCTTGTATTGAAATGAATTTGGAAAATAATGTGCCTTTAGAAAATGGGAAGGCTAAGGATAGATCACCAGCATGTTTTAGAGTTTAATATGTTGTGTAAAATATGTAAAATGAGGCAATATAGCAGCAGTTATTTTAGCAAAGATCATTTTGAATATATTTATATATTTGATGTGTAATTAATCAAGTTGTCTAATTTGAAATTATCACTTTGATTTCGTTAAAATGTTATTTCATCAATTGAGGAAAAAGAATTCCATCTTTATGAATCAATGATGAGATCAGGGGACACAGTGAATGTTTGGTATCACCATTTGATTTGACCATTTATCATTGTTAAACCATTTTCCCATCAATCTAGAAGAGGCAAAAACGTTAAAAATCTAATGACTTTTGTGTTATACGCTGCGTGTAGGGATTGATGCCACGTTTAATTACTGTGAATTAAAATGAAGTTATACCGAAATTAATGATTGAGGAATTAATATTCTCTCTATCTCAAATTATAAAATATTTTTAAAAAAATTTTTTCATCTTAAAATATAAAACACTTTAAATGAATTAAAATTTTATTAAATATATTAATTTTAATATTATTATTTCTTTCTCTATAATTAATTTTCATCACTTGTCTTTTTAATATATTAAATGATAGGTATATTAAAAATTTTATATTTTTATTTTAAAAAAATAAAATTATTAAGTGCATTTGATAAGGTTTATTGATATGTGAAATTTTATCTCAAAATATTTTATAATTTAAGATAAATAGAATATTTCATGAGTCTAATAGTTCCTCAGCATTGTCAACTTGCCACGTAGGATCAACAAGTATTTAGATAAAATCACGCCCTCTTTCAGTTTTGTTCATCTCATTTTATTCAGTGTCTTGGTTTCTAAACTTGTTGTGTATTTTTAATATAGTAAATGCATTAATTTTTTAGAAGCATCGTATGATTTTGTTATTTAAGAACTTTTTATCCCGATCATATTGTAAATATATTTAACTATTTGGTATATGATATAAGTGGAGTTGCTTTTCCAACATAATATTTTAATCCACAAAATTGTATTCGTTTTTTTTTTTAAAGGAACCAATGATACGTAGGCCAGTTTAATAATAAAATCACATGGTCTGTGTTACATTTTTTTTATTATTATAAGAGTGAGCAAATGAATACTGCAATGTTGGCACTTCACAATGGTAAATTAATGATTGAATATTTATTTATTGTTAAAATTTAGGTTGAATTGATATTTGAATTTGAACCATAATTTGAAGGTTGTGGTGTGATGAGGCAGCGTAACAGACGGGAAAGAGAGAGTAAGGAAGGAAGGGCTAATATAGTAGTGATTAGGGCATTAAATTAATCTAATGATATGAGATTGTCAGACTGAGTGAGATTACAAGATCAGTGATTGACACTAAGTTAACGTGATAATTATTAGTCTTTTCTATAACAATGTCATAATTGTTATATTATTGATTTCACATGCATGCCTGGCTACGTAAGAATCCACCATATTAGATCCACATCGACTCTCATCTCATACTCACCACACAACATGTCTTTCCTATTAATTAATTATCTTCAGGGCGCGCGGTTTGCTTGAGATTTAAAAAACAGTTTTAGTTATTAATTAAACATAAAATAGTTGTTGGGAGAATTTTGAAATAAACAAGGGGGATGTGATGACAATAAGCTTTGTTTGTTCAATATTAGAGAGAAAAAGGTGATTTTAGTTTATTGACTTCCAATGATGATTCATTCAATCTCTCAAATTAAAATGTGTTGATTTCATTTATTATATATTCCCTCCGTTTCTATCTGTAGGAGAAAAAAATGATATCACACAGTTTAAGAAAATTGATTAACTATATTAATTATATTTGAAAATAAAAAAATTGGACTATAATACCATCCATTAATTGTATTATTCAAGTCTTCATTTATTATTTCTTATGACTATGAATGATAAAATTATGAGAGATAATTTAAAAAATTTACAATAAATGCTTATCGAAAAATGCAATTTTGTTTATATAAAAAAATAAGGTAAAAGTAAAGGTAAAGGGGCAAAAATATCTACAAAGTAATCAGCCACGAGCACCCAATATTTTAAAGTGATGAAAAGAATAAAAATACTTATAATGTTATATGGATGGGTGCAAAAGTAACTAGACCGTTAACTTTGACCGTTAAATGTTGATTGTGCATGCCATATGTTAGTCTTTGCTAACATGGACTAAAAAAGGGGTAAAAATACTCACAAAGTCATTGGCCAAAAGCAAAAATGCCTATAATGTCACCAGAATTGGTGCAAAAGTGACTAATCCATTCAATCCGTTAAATGTTAACCATTTAGTTGACACTTAAGCAAAAGTTGACTATTTTTTTCATTGATGTAGACAAAAAATATTTCTAGATAAAATTCTCTGAAAGTTAATCGGTTATTTTATAAATATCATGTGAGAAAATATTATTTTGATTGAATATCAAATTAAATTGCATTTTTTTTACAGCAGTGGCAAAAATCATTTAAAAATTTTGAATCTATCGTGAATCTAATTGTTTAAAGTTGTGACAATATTCTTAAGCTAGACGTGCTCAGTCTTGATCTTTGATTTTGAACAACCTATCTTACTATATTAAATCTCAAGTTTTGCAAACAAGAAAAATGAATGGAGAGGGAGAACGGAAGGGAGCGAAATACGTAGTGATGGAAAGAAATCATATGGCATTGATTTGGACGGATTGGTCACATTGCACCTACAAAAATAACATTATAGATACTCATACAATGATCGATCAACATTCGTAAAAATTTATCTTGAAATATTTTTTGTCTATATCTAAAAAAAATAGTCAACTTTTACTTAAGAGTTAACTAAACAATCAACATTTAAGGGATTGGATGTATTGGTCACTTTTGTATCAACTCTAGTAACGTTATGGGTATTTTTACTTTTAGCCGATGACTTTATTAGTATTTTTGCTCCTTTTTTAGTCCACATCAGTAATGACTGATACGTGGCATGTACAGTCAGCATTTAATGGTCAAAGTTAACAGTGTTAGATAAAAGTTAACGGTCTAGTTACTTTTACACCCATTCATGTAACGTTATGGGTATTTTTACCCTTTTTATCACTTTAGGATATTTGGTGCCCGTGGCTGACTATGTAAATATTTTTGCCTTTTTACCCTAAAAGTAATAGTTTTTTTTATAAATGAAAACAGAGAGAGTATGTGTTATTTAGGCCAAATATTTAAAGCTTGACATATTTTATCAAGTATTATATCCGCTCTGAAATGTCTCTTTCCATCGTATAAGATCAAATCAAATTATTCATTCAGATTGACACTTTTGAAATAATTTTGCAGTCCTCAAGAATGCAACTAAGTTGGTGGCATAACGGTGAGCTGAATCTTCCATGATTGGTGTTGTTTGATCAGCTAGCCTCAATCAATTCTTTAAGTTTTTATTCCGTTGCTTTTTTTTATTAAAAAATAAAGGACACGTGATGTATAGTTGAAATCATGATCAAATATTAAAGAACTCAATTAGGTGGCATGGATGAATATAATTAAGGCTTGCAAATGGTAGTTTTAATTTGATTATAGATTTTTCAACAATCATATATGCGTAATCTCGTACGTGGACGAGCATATCAACTCGCATGAAAGTATGATGCAATAATTAACCACGATTATCCCCTAAGTATCTATATTGTTCAATGAAATGAAGAGAGAAAGAGACATTGTATTGAGAACAGAGTTGAACAACATTTTGACTCGTCATTTTTTCTATCGGTGTGTTTGTTTTTCTGTTTGGAAAGTATTGTTCTAAAAAAATTTCTACTTTGTTTCTCATGACATTCACCTCAAATATTGAGCTAAAAATACATTTGAAATTTCAGAAATGCTATCCAAACAAGCACTATGAAAAATATAGAAAACTGCCACATAAGGGAAAAAGTTCTTAACACTGCTTTGAGAAATTTGATGACTGGTTTTGAAATTATGAAAAACAATGAATTATTAAAAAATTA